AAAGAAATAAAAGGAATAAAGACAGGAAAGGAAGAAGTTAAACTGTCATTATTTGCTGATGATATGATACTTTACATAGAAGTCCCAAAAAACTCCACCAAAAGACTTCTAGACTTAATTGACAGATTCGATAGAGTAGCTGGATATAAGATCAACACTCAAAAACAATATCCTTTTTATATACAAGTAATAGACTCACTGAGAGAGAAATTAGGGAAATAATTTCTTTCACAATAGCATCCAAAAAAATGAAATACCTAGGAGTCAATCTAACAAAAGAAGCAAAAGACCTCTACACTGAAAACTATAACACTTTGAAAAAAGGAGACTGAGCAGGATAAAAGAACATGGAAAGACATCCCTTGTTCCTGGGTAGGAAGAACCAATATAGTGAAAATGGCCATACTACCAAAACTATTATATAGGTTCAATGCAATCCTGATTGAAATTCCAACAATATATTTCACAGAACTAGAGAAAACAATCCAAAAATCCATTTAGAACCAGACAAGACCTAGAATAGCAAAAGAAATTTTAGGCAACAGAGATATGACTGGGGGTATCACAATCCCCAACTTGGAACTATACTACAAAGCTACTGTGATAAAAACAGCATGGTACTGGCAAAGAAACAGAACTGAGGATCAGTGGAATAGATTAGAAGATGCAGAAATGACTACAGACATGCTCAGCCACCTCATCTTTGACAAAGGAGCCAACCATTCTCATTGGAGGAAAGAGAGCCTCTTTAATAAATGGTGTTGGAAAAACTGTATTTCAACTTGCCAAAGATTAAAACTAGACCCATACCTATCACCATGCACTAAATTAAGATCAAAGTGGATTAAAGATTTAAATATTAAGACAGAAACACTAAATTTGCTGGAAGATAAGTAAGGTAGAACTCTTGAAGACATTGGTATAGGAAAAGATATTATGAACAAAACCTCAATGGCATGGGAACTTGCACAAAGAATCAACAACTGGGATCTTATCTTATTAAAAAGCTTCTGCACTGCAAGAGAAACCACCAACAGAGCTAACAGACAACCTACAATATGGCAAAAATTTTTCAGCAACTGTACCTCAGACAAAGGACTACTATTTAGAATATACAAAGAACTGGAAAAAATCAGACCCCCCAAATTCAAAGACCCAATTCAAAAATGGGCATCTGAAATGAACAGACATTTCTCAGACAAAGAAGTAA